GATGCCAGACCACTCCCAAAGTCTTGCACGAACCTGTTGGGTCACCGAAATGCAGATACATGAATGCGCACGCTCGCCCCTGGGTTATTGGATGTAATCGGGGAAGGTTACCGAGCACAAGACGTGTGTTCACACAGTACGCACCATGCACGTGGACGCACTCACACACTCCTGGACACTCTAACGTGCATTATTTATTGCACAATGTCAATCGCATGAACATGTTACTTGAACACGTATAGTGTGGTGCTACTGTTATTTGAATTACCCTACACCTCCTGGACAAACATCTGCTTCCGCACTTCGCCTGTCGACGCAACGTTGCTATGGCCAAAGACGTCTGCACCCATCAATGCGAACCACACCAAAGAAATCCAGAATTGAAACACTCCGAGGGAAAGCGCGCGCATGGGATCTGGAACCACGGCCGCGTCAGGAAGTAGACCCGACAGCTCGGAGAACAAAGGGTTTCGCCTTCTGCACATTGTCTCTTCGGAGCGTCTCCAGAATATGGCTTGGAACGGGCGGGGCTTCGAATGGAATAGCTCATACCGTTTCATGCCATCTGTCACTTCAAGCCTGTCGCCTCTCTGGAGGCCAAGCGCCTCGATATCTTTCACGAGTGCATACCCCCGCGAACCATCAGGACGCTTGTCAAATTCAAGGGCAGCTCTGACGTAGGGGAAGTTGTCGTTCGTGATGGTGACTCTGATTTCGCATCTAGCACAGGCATGACAGTAATCTGCCCAGCTCTTGAGGCGCCATGGCGTACCAAGTGCACTCAGACCTGCAATGTTCCCCCAGTCGCAGTGCCGACTCCAGCACCTGGGGCAAGGGTTATCACCTGATGATGTCGAGGGGAAGCCTAAAGTGGAGGTGTTTTCCCTCAAATCGCCTTTCAGGTGCACGATGGCTAGCCTCCAGGGCAGTGCTTCTCCCGACCTCTCATCGCGGCCAGCGTCGCTAGGGCGCCAGGGCAAACCATCGTGCCGCCTGGTCGGCCCCTGTCCAGTAGCCCCGAGTTCGACGCCCCACCCAAGTGCTTGAAGGAAGCAAAAGACAGTGCACCACGATCTGCACCCACATGCGCACATTTCAGACTTTCTCAGAATACCAACTAAAGCAGGGACCTCTGTAAGCATGTTGACCATGTAGCAACACAGGGCCCCATCGTGCCGCGTAAAGGGCACGCCGTCGAAATACAGGGTGTACGGATATACGGGGACGCCTTCTGGCGCGTTAAGCACTGCGGGGTGGCGGAAATACTTCTCGGGTAGCTTGCCCAATTGGCGAGCTTCGTCCAGCTTCTCTGGCAGGTTTGGATCAGCTTCAACTTCAGACCGCACGACATCGAGAGGCAGAACGATCGGTACCCACTCGTTGCCTTGACTGTGATCGGCACGACGATAAACAGGCACGTTCACTTCGTAGCGTTGTGCGGCCTCATCCATGTCGACGCTCGTTGCTCTCTCAAACGTCCGTGAAAAATGAGAGCCATCAGGAGGAACTGCTAGCCTCTCAACTGCGCCTTTGAGCCCTGCTGTCTTGGCCCAGAAGGATATGACACAAGCTTGCTTTGCGCTGAGCACAGCAGTTCGCTTGAGGTGAATTATGTAGTTAGCAAGTTCTTCAGATGCCTCCTCAGCCGAAGTGTTACTCAACGGAGGCTCGTATGAATCATCGCCGCTGTCGAAACCCAATGCAGCAACTGCGTCAGACCAGGGATCGTGGCTCCAAGGGTCTGGTATAGAAGATCGCACGACGCGAAGTGGCCTGACAAGCTTGGGCCAAAATGTTCCACGGACGGTTTCCGCTGATTTTGTCTACCCCAAGTTTCGAAGCGCCCCAGCTAACGATAATCAAAGGATGGGGCCGAACTCGTAGTGCGTTTGATCGTTATTGTTGATGTCGCTGCTGTTGGTGTTGCTGTAGCTGTTGCTGCGTTTGCGGGCGCTCTCACGGCGATGCTTGTTGCCATGGCTGCTGTTGTTGGTGTCCGTTTCCTCACCCTCCCGCCCTTGGGGGCCGAACCATTGCAGACGAGATGACGAAGTCTGGTTACGCGGCTCGGGACCGTCCACGGCCTCCAAGCGTCAAGAAACGGAGGTGGAGCGGCGGAGAGCGCGAAGGGGGGGGGCATGCGAGTAGGAGAGGGGCGGCGGCAAGGAGCAGGAGGAAGAACAGGACGCACGAGAATGAGCGAGATGGTTTGCCTGGTCAAAACCAGCACATCCAGATAGCGTGACACAACGCAGAGCACATGATACGAACGCAGACGAGGCCCCCCTATCTCGTCAGCCCCTCGCCACAGCGTGCAACCGATTCGATTCTGCCTTTTATCTCAGTGCCTGCCCTGGCGCCATGACCTCTCAGCTCCCAAACAAAAAACTCATGATGTGTTGGTTTCCAAGGGCCCTTCAGAGTTTCACTGAGTTTCACTGGAGATTCACTCCGATGCAACTCAAAGTGAAACTCCTTGGGATCAGCGTTTCGCCTGATACATCCTCACAAAATCATAGTTCCATCTGGGTTTCACTCGGAGGAGTTTCACTAAGTTTCACTCGAGTTTCACTCGCTGGTTTTTGTGCTCGCGCACGTCCAGACCAGGAAACCAACCTGAAATCTTAGATCATACCTTACAAACCCTTCGAAGAAGCAAGAATCGAACGATACTACGTCAATAGTGTCTCGTGGGCACACTTCTGCCCCAGCGAGTGACCAAATCTCACTCAAGGCTCGTCAGGGCGAGCGGCGTGCATGCGCTTCAGCGTCGCGACCTCCTTCTGCAGCCTCTGGATCTTCTTATCGAACTCGGCGATGCGGCCCAACTCCTCCAAGGCCTCGTCCACGGTGTACTTCTTGAGAGTCGTCGAGGCGAAGTTCTGAGCCACCGTCCAGTCCTTCCAGAACTGCGACGACTCCTTGAAAGCAGTGATCTGCTTACGAGCCTCCCGAAGAGCAAGAAGAGTGTGCTCATTGTTCGCCCAGCTCCACTTCTCGTCCTTCGAGATGGTCTTGATCAGGTCCTCCGCCGAAGTTGAAGCGTTGCTGAGCGAGGTGCGAAGCTTCTCTGCCCGAGCGGACTGCGTCTTGAGCTTCTTCTTCTTCTCGCCATCCTCAGGAGCTGCATATGCATCCCCTCTGCGTCTCTTCTTATCTCCCTGATCTCCCTTGTTGCTAGTGCCGCTGCCGCCGGTGCGGCCCCGCTTCGGCTCCTCGGGCGCAGGCTCGGAGGCTGGGGGCGGCACTGGAGGCACTGCGCTGGCCGCGCGGCGCCCGCCGCTGGCAGATGACGCCAGTTGCTCTGGGCGCCCAGACTGCACGAGCTCAGTCGCTCGCGCGCCCCACGTCTGGCGTTCGTTGAAGCCGACGTGCTCCTTCAAGTACAGGACGTAGAGACGCTTCGTCCTGCGGCTGAACTCCAGGTGGGGCTTGCCATGGACCGTCTTCTTTTGCTTCCACAGCTCGACCGCGCTCGCCCAGAAGTGCTTGGCCGCTTCCAGTCCAGCTTGGCCGAGGCCTTCCGCCTCCCACGTCTTGTAGAAACTCAAATACTCGCCGCTCATGCCCGTGTCAATGGTCTGCTCGCGCGTCTCGCAGCGCTCAACCTTGAGGCTCTCCAGCTTCGTCTTGGCCCAATTCATCCTGAAGATGCGCTGCTTGTCGTACGCCTTCCCCACTGCATTGTAGTCCGCCTCCAGCTGCTCATTCAACTTTTTGTCCTGTGCCCAAAGCCGCCCGACGTGAGAAGCACGAAGATCGAAGGAGCCCCTGGCCAGCACATCAGCGAGCGCGATCTCGTCCTTGCTAGGATCTCCATCGAGCTCTGCATCAGCGTCACCATCTTCAGCTGGAGGTTCCCCGTCTCCAATCGTCGCATCCCTGACGGCCTTCTCGCACTGCATGCCCATCTTCTCAGCGTTCGCAGCGTCGCACTCGACGGTCGTGGCATCGAGGGCGGCCTTGACCAGCTTATCGTACGCAGACCCAACCTCCTTGGCCGTCTGCTCAGCAATCTGGGGGGGCTGGGTCTGATATTTCGTCGGGCAGCTCAGCCTTCGCATCTGAGGCTGCGGCATCCGCCGACATCGAACGATGTGCGAGTGGTGCGGCGGACGCTGGAGGCGCTTGCTGAAAGCGCAACAATGCCAGAGCAAGGTTGTGCCAAAACATGGCAAGCACGGACGGGGGACTGATGCGGAGGGGGAGGGGGAGAAGGAGGGGCGGCAGGGGGAATAGCGGGGGGATCAGGAGCGGGAAGAGCAGGAGGACAGGGGGAATGCGAAGACGAGTACGAGGAGGAGGAGGGGGAGGAACAGGAGGAGGAGGAGGAGATGGATGGAGGCCGAGAATGAGGAAGAGTAGGGGCACCCTTCGAAAACGGCCGTCGTGCGACCACCGACCGAGACCATCTCCTCAATAGTATGCTTCATGGATCTGCCCTCGATTCGACAGTCGCCCTTTCCTCCCTCTCCTTCTCCTTCCTCCTCCTCCTCCTCCTCCTCCTCACCATCATCCTCCTCCTCTCTCCTCCTCCTACTCTTCCTACCTCTGACGATCTTCAAGAGGCTGGCGATATTCCGTCGACCCCTCCCCCCAGACGCAGGACGGACGGGCATGTGTGATTTGTCGTGGTGTTTGTTTCCGCCTCGCGTGGGGTCACTGGGTTGTGGATCAGAGGCTTCTTGGATGTTCGCTGTTTTTTTCGCTTGGAACTACTTGGGGGTCTCTTGGAGGCCTTACTGGGGCACCGTGGGAGGTAGCGATGTTGGGCCCATGGTGGGTTTCCTGGGGGGCTTAATTGGTGGCCTCTGGAGCCCTCTTGAAGTGGCCTCTTTGGGCCTTCTGCGATTTTCGGTTCTCTTTCTCATTCTCTGGCCCCTTGCTGGGCCGTGCACGGGCACTCTGTATTTTTTTCAGCTGGTGCTGGACAGTAACAGCAGGCTCGAGGAGCGCGTTCAGCGCCTCGTAAACTGGCCAGCCTTGCAGCCAGGTCGCTCTCAAAGGTCGCATTGGTCACCGTCGGCATCGTCCGAAATCCAGCCGCCGAAGTTGAAGTTGCCACCGACACCGCCCGAGCCGCTGGCCGCCGCGGTGCCCTTGTCGAGGTCGTCGTCGCCCTTGCCCTGGCGCACCTCCGCCGCCGTCTTGCGCAGCTTCAGCGCCGACGAGTCCGAAGGCGCAGCCGCAGGCCTCTTCATCGCGGGAGTCCCCGCGCTCGGGCCAGCATCTCCATATTTCCCGATCTCCGCCTCGAGCGCGCTGTCGCGTGCAAGAGAACGAGCTCCTCTCGTGTCCTGGATCTCGCCCTTCATGATGCTGCCCGCCAGGTCCGTCGCGACGCTGAGCGTCTTCGCGATGCCAACCTCTGCGCCGAGAACGTCCACGAGCTTCTTGGACGAGATCTGCAAGATCTGCTCCTTCCCATCCTTCTTGTTAGCGTCGGTGCGGAATATTAAGTACATGACAGTTCCAGCCTCCATAGTCTTCATCACGCTGATGTCCCTGCCGTTGTCGCCGCTGCCAGTCCACAATTTCCCTCCCTTCTTCTTCTCTACGTCGATCTTCTTCATCTCGCGCAGCTCTGCCACTGTGATGCCGTGGATCCTGACGGCTCCCTTGCCCCGCTGCGCGAACGGGGACTCGGTGGGGTCCATATCGCCTTTCTCGAACAGCTCGGTGAACGTTTTCTTCAGGGGCTTCTTCGCGTCGGCCCTCCACGCCTTCTTCACCTCGGGGCAGTAGCCGTAGAAGAAGTTGCGCCGAGGCGATCCGCCAAGGGGGAGCTGGGAGTCCTCCGAATCCTGCTTCTTCTTGAAGGCCGCATTCTCTTCCTCATACGAGTCGTCAGGTGCGTCCTCAGCGTTCTCCTCCTCCTCCCCCTCCTTCCCCTCGGGATCGTCCTCGTCTGATTGCTGCTCCTGGTCGGCGTCTCCGTGTTCGTCGTCTTCGCCATCGCCACCGTGAGAATCCCCGTGTCCTGCGCCGGGGTCGTCGCGATCAACAAGGTCACGGGCCCATTTCACTTCTTTCGAAAGCCGTTGGCCGAACTCCATGCACATGGAACGCAGGCGCTGGGCGTGCAACTCGACCCACTGCTTCTCGTGCTCCGCGTTGAGATCTGAAGGCCATTTGGAACGCTGTGTATTCAAGATCTCCTGCATCGCGTCCATGACATTGCGCTTCTGGAAGGACATGTTTGGCTGCATCTTGTACAACGGGTACAGCGTGGCCCAGAACTTCTTCACGGTGGGCTGCAAGCTCTTAGCGGCGAACTCGGGCAGCCAATCCCGCGACGTGCATTAGATTCCGAGTGCATCGACGATGTCCTGCGCAGTCCCCTGGAAGGTCACACGCTTCGTGGGCTGGTCATCTCCGCTCATCGTTCGCAAGCGTCTGCTGTCCGAGGTGGAATTCGAAACCGCTCAAGCCAAAATGTTTACGGACCGTCAGACGCAGCTTCTCTGAAGGCCCCTGGTAGGACAAAAAGAACACCAAACTAAATCCGCCAATTTGGGTTATCTCCAGCCAAGCGTTCTCCCATTCGAACTCGAGGCCCTCGCACAAAAACGCGGCACGACTACGAATACCGATCGCCCGTGTAAGCTGGATGCGTGACCCACGAGCAGGGAACATGTGTAGAACGCACACAAAAGATGGTGGGCATGTTTTTGGATTTGGGAGAACTTGAGATAAATCGGAAGGTCGCTTAGGACACCCATTGTCGAAATTCCAACCTACAAGCACTGCTTCAGTTCAGTCGGACCAGTCAGTTCAGTCAGCCTGCCTGCACTTGCTCTTGACTGCCCAGCTGCATGCATGCGCAACGTGCTCGGTATTTGCGCCACCCTCAAGCTACTGAGAAAAAACGCAGTGCCGTGATAAGTGCATATTGCGTGCGCGCGACACAGAAAACCACCACCATGCGAACGTACCCCCCCCCCCCCCCCCGATGCCGAACAATCAACGTGGTATGCCCGAATGTGTTTTTGTTCTCATAGTGCGTAGTGAATGTTAGTTGATTAGATGTAGCAGGCGTGTTTTTTTTGTTTTTTAGGCCATCCATAATGGCTAGAGGGAACCAACTCTTATATTAACTGATACACCCTTGTTTTAACGGATACAACACCAACGTTTAAATTTAAGGGCAACGGACCCCCAGGGATAATGTAGATGCCTGGCTGAGGTCCGCTTGCGCGGTTTGAAGGGCCAGGGCGAGGTTACGCACGTGCTCCTCTGCCTGTGCTTGCTTAGCTGCCAATTGCTCGCAATCGGCATGCAGGGAGGCCACCACGTGCTCTTGCTCGCTGATCTTGGCTAGCGGATCCCTCGCATTGGCCAATTGAAAATTAACTAACGAAATCTCCTTACAGATCTCGGTGATACGCATATCGGAGTGTCCTAGGAGGGTTGAGGCCCTGAGCTGCAGGATCAGCGCATCCTTGCTCATGGCAAGGGCCTTGCGGTGCTCCAGCAGGCGGTCGGGCTCGAGCGGGGGATAGATCCAGGCCGAATGAGAGTGCGCCTCGTCAGGGGTGAGGGTAGGGCATTGCGCTGTGAGCTCTGCTACTGAGAGCTCAGTGGCAGGATCCAACGCGCCGAGAGAGGAGAAGGCTTGGTCGGCCATGAGGAACGGAGACTGCTGCACAGAGGCGGGGCCGAAGAGTGCGGGGGGGGTGGCCCCACCTTCAGGAGGAGGCGCAAAAGGCGAAGGCTGCGACCGGGGAGACTGCCCGATGATGCCCGTGTCCTTGGCGCCGTGTGGGGTGCCAGGAGCCTTTGAGGCGGGCTGCTCCCCCTCGCTGCGCTGGGCCTCGCGGGCCTTGCGAGCCTCGTCCTTCTCCCGCTTCTTGCGCTCCTTGTTGGAGATCACTTCTGGCTGGACCGCGTGGTCTCCTGGGGGTGCGGGGAGCAAGCCGTACTCCGCTGCCCACGCAGCCACCTGGTCGAAAGATGGCGCATTTGACGGCGCATGGCCTTTGCCCATGTGTACCCCTCCCGTGCTTCCAGAAAAGGAGCGTGGGCCCTTGTGGCCCGGCCAGGGGCCCGCACCTTGCAGGGGCTTGCGCTGCTCCTGACCTTTGGCGGGGCCGGCTGTCGCACGCTGGGGACCTGCCGCCCGAGTCGGAAAGCAGGTGGGGCATGAAACGTCCAAAGCGGTATTGGCCCGGCCGCACTGCAGGCAATACCAAAGCTCGGGAGGGGCGCTGCCTTTCTGGTGCACTGGCTGCTGGGGGGGAGGAAAAAAGTCAGCAGGCAGGCGCGTGGCATTTAGGGACGGAGAGGGAGGAGCAGCCATACGCTGCGTGGGGGAGGTAGCCATACCGTGCTGCTGCAGCCCTGACGTTGGCGAGAGAGGCGTCGCGCGAGGCGGGGGCAAGGTCGTGGGAACAGCGCCTTGCTGCGGGAGGCCCTGGAAAGAGTGGTGGTGAGAGAGCATCATCGCGGCTTTATGCACTCTTAAAAGTGTGCGGGCGTTTGCGCGCTGTTTGCGCGCTCTGCGATGGTGAGCGGGCTCGTCGCGAGGCCGCTGGGGGTAGGAGGGAGGAGAGTAAGCAGGCGTCGCGCCTGGCGTATGGCGGCCCTTGCGGGCGTCGCAGCGGGGATCGGCGCGGAACCGGTTTGCAAACCGCTCGAGCCAAACCTAGGAGGAGGAGGAGGGAGGAGGGAGGAGGAGGGAGGAGGAGGGAGGAGGAGGAGGAGGAGGAGGAGGAGGAGGGGAGGAGGAGGAGGGAGGAGGAGGAGGGAGGAGGAGGGAGGAGGATTAGGAGGAGGATTGGGAGGAGGATTAGGAGGAGGATTAGGAGGAGGGAGGGAGGAGGCCTCTGCCAGGGGAGCAGCAGGACACGGGGGCAGGAACACCGCCCCCGAGAGGGCGCAACACGGCGAGCGCCTCCGGGGCCCGCCGGCGCGCAGGCGGCGGCGGGCGCCAGCGCGCCGGCGGGCAGACGGGGCGCCGGCGCGGCGGCCAGCACCACCTGCGCCAGGGGGGCGGCGCCGCTCGGGCCGGCCTGCGGGGTGCACAGGCAGCACGCAGGTGCGGCGGGGAGGACGGGCGACGGAGAGGAGCGTAAAAAAGAGGGCGAGGGAGAGGAGGAGGGAGAGGGAGAGGAGCGGGAGAGGCAGAGGAGCCAGAGGGGGCGAGGGAGAGGAAGAGGAAGAGTAAGAGAGGGAGAGGAATGAGAAAAGCCAGGGGCGGGAGAGGAAGATGAAAAGGAGGAGGAGAATGAGGAGAAGAGGAGGAGGAGGAGGAGGAGGTGGAGGAGAGGAGGAAAAGGAGGAAGAGGAGGAAAAGCATCAAGAAAGGTACCAACGGAAATGTATGGTTAAGAAGAGGAAAGGAGCAACAAGAAGAAGAGAAAGGAGTGGAAGAAAAATCAGAAGAGTCATGATGGAGTGAGGAACGTTTGCGTAGCGTGTCACGATGGCGGCCCTGGCGACACGAGATGCCTTGCAAGCGGATAGGTGTCGCTCCGCTCCGCGGGGCGGGAGGCTAGGAACAGCTCGGGACGCTGACGCTTGGGAATGGGGACGTGGATAGCGTGTCGCGTGGTGGGCCAGAACCGGCAGAGCGACACGCTGAGCAAACGTTCCTGACCGTACCTGGCCCCTCCTGACGTTGACCCCTGCCCTTCGGGCCACAGCTCGGGTCTCCAGCGGCCGTTCGGGACGATCTGGGCACCCCCGGGAACGCCTGCAACGAGGGTTGGAGAACCGCCGAGTACCGACGACAGCATTTAGGTCGGGCATGTCCCTCGTACAGGCGGATTCTGGAAGAAAGTTACGAAATAGCCAGCAACAAAAATTCTCAAAAAGAGTAACAGATAGTCGAGAAGTCGTCCCCCGACTTTTTCCCTACCTAGGCTCTGCCTAGAAGGGTTCTTACCCTCTATGCTCAAAGGGGCCGGGCAGTGGAACACGCCCTGGGCGGTTCCCCCAGGATCCGCCCCGCTGTTCCCCCAGCTGCGTCCCCTTAACTTAGCGTTGCTTATCTCATCTCTTAGTTTAGCTTATTTCATCTCAGCTTAGCGTAGCTTCATCTTAGCTCAGGTTTATCTTAGCTTAGCTTACCTTCATCTTGGCTTTGATGAGCTTTAGCATAGCAGAGCAGAGCATAGCATAGCAGAGCGTAGCGTAGCATAGCGCAGCACAGCATATCATGGCAAAGCCCAGCATAGCACAGCATAGCGCAGCATAGCATAGCATAGCATAGCATAGCATAGCATAGCATAGCAGAGTGCAGCACAGCACAGCACAGCATAGCATCGCGCAGCATAGCATAGCATAGCATAGCATAGCATAGCATAGCAGAGCAGAGCAGAGCAGAGAAGAGCAGAGCATAGCATTGCACAGCAGCAAAGCAAAGGCAAAGCAATAGCAGCGACAGCAAAGCAAAGCACCAGCAACGTCAAGCAAAGCAAAGCAAACGCAAAAGCAAAGCAAAGGAAAGGCAAAGCAAAAGCAATGTGCGGCACCCCTACCTAGGCTCTGCCTAAAGGGTTAGCTTAGCTTAGCTTAGCTTAGCATAGCGCAGCGCAGCATTAGCATAGCATAGCATAGCATAACATAGCCAAGAATAGCATAGCATAGCATAGCATAACATAGCGCAGCATAGCATAGCATTGCATAGCATAGCATAGTATAGCATAGCATAGCGCAGCTTAGAACAGCATAGCATAGCATAGCATAGCATAGCTTAGCATAGCACAGCGCAGCATGGCATATCATAGCTTAGCATAACATAGCATAGCATAGCGCAGCATAGCAGGGCATAGCTTAGCGCAGCATAGCATGGCATGGCATGGCATGGCATGGCATGGCATAGCATAGCATAGCATAGCATAGCAACTAATGCTGCTTTCCTAGGGGCTCCAACTTCTGGGTAGGGTCGCACCGGGGTAATTTGTTCGACTACTTTTGAATACCCCTCCTGTGTATAGGGACCTGCCCGACATCAGGTCAGCATCCGAAAACGCTCCGCCAAAGCTCCTGGCCACAAAAATCGGGAATGGAAAGAACCCCGTTTAGTAAAAAGAGCGTGGTTTAGCGAAAACGACCTCGGGCCCAAACCGGGCGGGCAGGAGCCTGGAAAAAGACGGCCGCGGCGCCCTCTCGAGAACCGAAAACGGACAATGCACTGACCGACGTGTCAGGGCGGGGGCTCTGTCCACCCCCGAGAACAGGGGCAGCGGAGCGGAGAGGACGACGCGGCGGCCTGCGCACGGCAGGGCGCAGGCAGCCGCGCCAGCTCCTGGACCGAGGAGGCGCTGCTCAGCGCCACGGGGGCGGCCTCGGCGCGCTGAGCGCGCGCTGGGCGCAAGCCGGGCAGGCGCTGTCGAAAGGGCCCTGGGACACACACACACACACACACACAACTCAAGAG